AAAAAATAATAATAAATTTATATAGTGTAATATACATACAACCATATCAAAATATAACAAATTTAAATATACTAAATATAATAAATATTAATATAGTTCTAAACTTATTTTTAAATAGACTAAAAACTTTATATTTTTAATCTATTTTTTTTTATTACTTTCATATGTTATATACAACTATTATATTATCAATACTTGAGGTATTAATAGTTACAATACCTGTTTTATTATCAGTAGCATTTGTAACAGTTGCTGAAAGAAAAACAATGGCTAGTATGCAAAGAAGATTGGGTCCAAATATTATTGGCTATTATGGACTTTTACAAGCATTTGCAGATGCACTTAAACTTTTATTAAAAGAGTATGTTTCACCAACACAAGCTAATATAATATTATTTTTTCTAGCTCCAATGATAACTTTAATTTTTTCTCTATTAGGTTATGCTGTTATTCCCTATAATCCTGGTTTATCTATATTAGATATTAACTTAGGTATATTATACTTATTAGCTGTGTCTTCATTATCTACTTATGGTATACTATTAGCAGGGTGATCTGCTAATTCTAAGTATGCGTTTTTAGGTTCTCTTAGAAGTACGGCCCAATTAATAAGTTATGAATTAATCTTAAGTTCTGCTATCTTACTTGTTATATTAATTACAGGAAGTTTAAATCTAACTACTAATATAGAAACACAGAGAACAATATGATTTATTATACCATTATTTCCTATCTTTTTGATCTTTTTTATAGGTTCTGTAGCGGAAACTAATAGAGCTCCCTTTGATTTAGCTGAAGCTGAATCAGAATTAGTTAGTGGTTTTATGACAGAACATGCTGCAGTTATATTTGTATTCTTTTTTTTAGCTGAATATGCAAGCATTGTTCTTATATGTATATTAACTACTATTTTATTTCTGGGTGGTTATTTATTTAACTATAATAATATAATAAACTTATTATCTGAAATCGATTTTGGTCTATTTACATATGATTATAATATTTTTGATAACATATACTTTAATCCTATATTAGAGAGTCTTTTATATAGTTTAAGTTTAGGGTTTAAATCTTGTATAATGATATTTGTTTTTATATGAGTTAGAGCTTCTTTTCCTAGAATACGTTTTGATCAGTTAATGTCATTCTGTTGAACAATATTGTTACCTATAGTTATAGCTTTTATTATATTAATACCTTGTATTATATTTAGCTTTGATATAATACCATGTAATATTAGTTTATTTTAATAGATATAAAAAAAATTTTTCATCTTTATATATTTTACTACATAGATATATGTGGTGTTACATTTTATTAATAATATTAATAATAAGTGGTAAATTACTTTTTCTTTTTATTTAACTAATGTTATTATCTTCTTTATTACTAATACCTTTATTTGGTGTTTTTATTATATCAACAATTGAGTCTAATGAATTATCTTCTTTATATAAAAAACAAGTAAAAAACATAGCGTTAATTATATCTATATTAAACTTATTTATTTCTATAATAATATTTATATATTTTGATTTTAATAATAATAATTTTCAATTTGTACAAGAGTATTATGAAACAAGTTTATTTGATTTATATTTGGGTATAGATGGTTTATCTATGTATTTTGTATTATTAACAACTCTAATTATACCTATTTCTTTATTATCTAATTGAACATCTATAACAAATAATATTAAATCATTTGTTATATTAATATTATTATTAGAAACATTACTATTAGCAGTTTTTTTAGTATTAGATATCTTATTATTTTATATATTTTTTGAAAGTATTTTGCCACCGTTGTTTATATTAATAGGTTTATTTGGATCAAGTAATAGAGTTAGAGCCAGTTTTTATTTATTTTTATATACATTATTAGGTTCTTTATTCTTATTATTATCTATACTTTCAATGTATTCTATAATGGGTACAACTAATTTTGACGCATTATATAAAACAAATTTTAATGATTTTACTCAAATATTTTTATTTTCCGGTATTTTTATAGCTTTTGCTGTAAAAACACCTACAATCTTTTTGAATACTTGACTTTTAAAAGCTCATGTAGAATCACCATTAAGCGGTAGTATAATTTTAGCTGGTATTGTACTAAAATTAAGTTTATATGGTGTTCTTAGACTAATTTTACCCTTATTACCTTATGCAGCCTGTAATTATACATATATAGTTTACTTAATAGGTGTTATAACTATAATATATGCTAGTTTTAGCACTTTAAGAACTATAGATATTAAAGAACTTATTGCTTATAGTTCTGTATCACATGCTGCTGTATATCTTTTGGCTGTATTCAGTAATACAATACAAGGGATTGAAGGTGGTATTCTTTTAGGTTTAGCTCATGGTTTTGTTTCATCTGGTTTATTTATATGTGCAGGTGGTGTTTTATATGATAGATCTTCTACAAGATTAATTACTTATTATAAAGGTATAGCTCAATTAATGCCCTTATTTTCTATATTATTTTTTATTCTTTCACTAGCTAATTGTGGTGTACCACTTACTTTAAATTTTTTAGGGGAATTTATGTCTTTATATGGTATATTTGAAAGATTGCCTTTATTAGGTATATTTGCTAGTTCTTCTATTATATTTTCTGCAGCATATACTATATTTATGTTTAATAGAATAGCTTTTGCTGGTTCATATTCTAAATATTTCTTAGTTAATATACCTGATTTAAATAAACGTGAATTTTTTATATTACTAATATTAGTTGTATTTACAGTATTATTAGGTGTATATCCCATACCTATATTAGAGGGACTACATTTTTCTGTTTCATCTTTAATATATAATTTTTAGTTTTAATAATCTATATAAATGTTAAAAATAATTTAATAGTTTTATATGTAATATCTGTATTAATACATTATATTATATATTAATACATTATAATATTACTATTAGTTACTTTAGGTTAATTTATATACAGATATTCTAACTAAATACTTATGTAAGATAATTTTGTAAAATACTTTAAACCTATATTAAATTAAAATAAATAATTAAAAAAATTTTTATATTTAGTTATTTTAGCTATACTAATTATTAGTAGTATTTAGGGTTTAGTTTACCAAGTTTATTAACATAAGAAGTATACTTGTTTATATAAAATATCGTTTGAGTTTTATCTCATTTTTAATATTTATATTAGTTATATTTTATTATAATTAACAATTAAATAGGTTAATATAAGTTTATAAGCTTTAACTGAAACAAACAATAGTATACCTTTAGCTTTTATAACAAATATTACTTTTTAATAAATACTTTTAAATAAAAAGCTAGTATAAAAATATAACGTATATTAATATAGCTATTATTACTAGTTATAACAGGTTTTATTATAGTAGTATTATAATAAAGATCTTATCTATGTAAACTTTAATAGTTAAACTTATTTTAGTTTTATTAAATCTGTAATATAAAGGTTATGCTTTATATATAATATCTCTGTGTAAAAAAGCTAAAATATTTATAAAAATATAAGTAATAATACTTAAAAAGAAATAAAAACTTTTTTTTTTAACGGCTATAGGTTAATGGTAGACCAATCGTCTTCCAAACGATGTGTACCGATTCAAGTTCGGTTAGCCGTATTAGTAAAAAGGCCTTTAGTTTAATGGTAAAATTCTTCTTCGTCAAGGAATGTAATATCGGTTCAAATCCGGTAAGGCCTGACTAATCTTAGTAATATTTTAAGTGTATTACTTTATTTAGGTTTTTTTTTAGGAAAAGTGGCCATACGGTAGGGCGAGATATTTGCTAAATATTGTGTTTTAACACCTGGATGTTCAAATCATTCCTTTTCCGTCTAAATAATCTAACATCTATGTTAAAAAACCATATCCTTTTTATATTCCTTATATTGTTATTAGGATATAATATAAATTAAAAAATAAAATTGAAAATATAATTGTAATATAATATATGAAATAATAAGAATTATATGTGTTACGAGTTTGCTTACAAACAAACTTTGTTCCTCGCAAAATAGTCAATATACTATCATATAGTAATATAAAAATACAATTATATTTAAAAATTTTATTTTTTAATTTATATTAGATTCATATAGAATACTATGTAAACAATATAAAATACTAATGATACAAGCCGCGAGAATTATAGGAACGGGATTAGCTACAACTGGTTTAATAGGGGCCGGTATAGGAATAGGTGTAGTATTTGGTGCCTTAATCCTAGGTGTTGCTAGAAATCCTGCCTTAAGAGGACAACTGTTCTCATATGCTATCTTAGGTTTTGCCTTTTCAGAGGCTACAGGTTTATTTGCTCTTATGATGGCTTTTTTACTTTTGTACGTGGCATAATCCTGATCCTGATTTGTCCTTTATTCTTTCATGCAGAAAATACCCATTCTGCAGGAAAGATAGATTATGCTACTGATTGTAACCCTAATATAGATAAAGTTAAACAAGATACAGGTAATTATGTGGTTAATTTCTACGGAATAATTAAATAGATTACAATAAGAACAAGTAATCTTAATGGTTTTAGAAGAAAAGTAAATATTATAACTTTCGTTATAGGCAGTACCTACCTACAAAATGTAGATAAACCTAATGATAGGCTAAATCAGATATTCTTTGTATTATACGGGTTAAAGCCAGGTAGGTTAGGCACTTCATTTGGAATGAGGCATTGTTATGTTCAAATCATAATAACCCGAATAATAATAACTAATTAAGTATAATGTAAAAAAAAATAAATAAAAAAAAAAATAATGTAAAGTCTTTACATAATATATTTATCTTTATTAATAAAGAATAGTGTATAATGTTTTAAAATTTTTTTAATAATATATAATAATAATATATACGATATAAAATATATTATTTTATCATTAATTATTATGATAATAAGTATATAAAGAAAATATTATGGATAAATAGCTATAATCTAAAGAAAGAAAAATTTTTATATAGGATGCCGTGCTCGTATATAAAAAATATATGTATCTCCTTAATTTCTTAGAAAAATTCCATGTTAAACAAAGTTAATTGAAATATCTTAATAGCTTTAGGAAAAAAAATCAAACGAGATTCCAAATATAGTGTGAATAAAAATGGAAAAAAAATTTAAAGTAAAATGTAGAACTAATTTGTTTGAATAAAGGGGAACCTTCCTCTAAAATTAAATATAGATTATAAGCGATAGAAAAATATGAAAATAAGTACCTTGAGGGAAAAATTTGAAATAGTATTTTTATAAGTAGTTCAAGTAAATAATAAAATAGAATAAGAGCGTACCTTTTGCATAATGGGTCAGCAAGTTAAAATTAAATGCAAGCAAGATTTGCCCAGATAAACCAATTACTAAATAATGAATAAGTATTTAAAATTAGACCCGAAGCCTAGTGATCTTATTATAATCAGGGTTATAAAAGCCCGCACGGTTTATCGTTGTAAAGATATCCGAAGAATTATGATAAGTAAGTGAAAGACAAAACTGACTAGGATAGCTGGTTTTCCGCGAAACCTATATAAGTAGGTAATTCAAATAATATCATAGCAGGTACAGAATTGTGTTCTTAGACAAAGTTTTTTGTATACATCGGGGGATTTGCGAAAATTTTATTGGTAAGTAGTTGCTCTCGGAATGGTAATGATAATTATTGAATAATCGGACATAGTATGATAAGATTGTATGTCTAAAGGGAAACAGCCCAGAACAAGCGTTTAAGGTTCCAAAATTATTATTAAGTGAAATAAAAGGAGTTATTTTTTAATTCAATCAGGAAATAGGCTTAGAAGCGGCCATTTTTTAAAGACCTCGTAACAGAGCACTGGTTTATTTAGTATCAACAATTTAATATTAAATAATTAATAGCACTGAAAATATAACGGATCTAAATAATATACCAAAACCTTGTCCATAAGTATTTTAATTTTATATTTATGGGGTAGCGGAACATTGGATAAATGATAGATTTAGTTTTAGATATATTAATTAACATAATCCAAGAGATAATGCTGACATGAGTAACGAAAAAGGGATAACCCTCGCCTTAAGCTTATGGTATTTATTTAAAGTAACGGCCTCTAAGTTTATTGACCTGCCCTAAAGGAATAAACGATGAGTAAATCTCGATATATATAAGACATTAATAGAGTATATAATGTTCTGGAAAATAATATGTAAGGTTTTATAAACCTATATATTTTTGAATAAGGATTTATTTTTAAAGATAAATTCTTTTAAACCTTTTTTTGATAAAATATAAATATGACCGTACCTAGAAACTACCACAAGTAAGCAAGTAGAGTATACAAAGGCGTTTGAGATAACAATTATTAAGGAACTCGGCAAATTGGCACCGTAACTTCGGGATAAGGTGGGCCATTCCTGCTGATTAATATCAGTTAAAGAAAAGGAGGCATAGAATGATGTTGTACGACTGTTTAATTAAAACAAAGCACTTTGCATAAGATAATAAATCAAAGTATTGAGTGCGATATCTGCCCTATATCGGCTGGTTAACGGGTTTGCTTTTTTTTTTTTGGGAAGGTTTTGAAGGATACCCCGATCAATGGCGGCCTTACCTATAAGGGTCCTAAGGTAGCGGAATACCCTGGCCGCTAAATACGGTCTTTGCATGAATGATTTAACGATACAACAGCTGTCTCAATAATTGTCTCAGTGAAATTATAATAACTGTGCAGATACAGTTTACCTCTAGATAGACGAGAAGACCCTATGCAGCTTTACTGTTACTAGTTATTGGGTATGTTGGAACAAGTTTTAGTGTATAAGGTAATTGATTAAATATAATTGAAACACCTTTACTTTGTTTAACATATCAATTGTGTAATACAATCTTTAAAGGAAAATAATAAAGGTAAATATCAAAATTTTTGATTTATATTAATGATACAGTTGCTAGTGGATAGTTTATGCGGGGCACAGATCCCATAAAAAGTACCTGGGTATATCCAAAATTAATTTTGTTAAAAAATCCTTAATCTTTTTTTTTAATTTATATTAGTAAAATATTAGCTAATTCAATTCTTGTCTTTTAAATAGATACTTTATATATTTATATTAATTAAGTAAGATTTTACTATATGGAAAATAGATGTATAATTAATATTAAATTAAGTTTAAAAATAAATATATAATAATTATGTATTATTATCTTTTAATTAAAAATTCTTAATAATATTTATAATTTTTATTATAATATGTTATATTATGATAAGGATATTAAGATATACTTATACAGTTTAATGGCTTAATCTTGCTTTACTGTTTGACTTACATGTCTATCAGTCGCGTAAGCGGGGCATATGATCACAAGATGCAAAAAGGAAAGGTCTTGGATTATTGAAAAAGCTACGCTAGGGATAACAGGCTAATTGCGCCAGAGAGTACAAATTGGGTGCGCAGTTTGGCACCTCGATGTCGGCTTAGCTCATCCACATGAATGTAAGAGACATGAAGGGTACGACTGTTCGTCGTTTAAAGAGCTACACGAGCTGGGTTAAATACGTCGTGAGACAGTATGGTTTCTATCTTCTAGAGGAAATTAGAGTAAAATAAAGATAGCCCCTTCGTACGAAAGGAGTTGGGTATATTAACCTATGGTTTACCTGTTGTTTATAGTGATGTCTAATATTAATATTCGGCTATGCTGATATATATAATTATATTATATTTATATTGTATTTAATAATATTATATCTATATTAATGTAATTAGAGGATATAACTGTTACTCTAGTTTATGTTTAGTGTAAGCAGGGCAGGAAAGCTATGTTAGTTTAAGATAAGTACTGAATGCATGTAGGTACGAAACTTACTTTAAGATACTCTTAAATATATGTAGTATAACACTACAATTTATATTTTTATTATAATTATATTAAAAGTATAGTTATGATAATTATAATGTATAGGCTTTAGCTAAAAGAATTTTAATATTTTTAGGTATAAAGTACTAAATGTATTATAAACTAAATAATATTTTATCATATATTATTTTTATATAGCTTAGTTAAAATAATTTATTATATTTATTATTATGGGGGCCTAGTTAGCATAAAAGTAATGTACCCGTTTTGTAATCGGTTGAAATAAGTGCGATACTTATACTGGGCTTATTTATATTTTTATGCGGATTGATGTAATAGTAACATAATTGGCTCATGACCAATATATAGAGGTGCAAATCCTCTGTCCGCACTTATTTATTAAGGTTATAGCTTAATAGGTAGAGCAAGCTGCTCATAATAGCTCAGATGAGTGTTCAAGTCATTCTAGCCTTATATTTACTACATTAAATATATGTATAAGGTTTAATATATATATATATATAACATATTAATCCGAGTGCTGGAATTGGTAGACAGGATAATCTTAAGATTTATTGATATTAGATCGTGAACGTTCAAGTCGTTTTTCGGATAAAAATATATAATAGTATATGAAAGTTTTTAAGGCCCATTAGTCAAGTGGTTAAGACATAACTTTTTCATCGTTACATACCTGGGTTCGAACCCCAGATGGGTCATATTTTATTTTGGGGTTATAGTTTAAAAGGTAAAACTGCGATTTTGCATATCGTTATTTTAGGATCGACACCTAATATCTCCACATTTTATTCTTTTTTAACCATTAAAGCTCGATAAGCTCAATAAGTTCATTTAAAATAGCAAATTTAATTTGAAATATATATATATATAAGCTAATAATATAAAAACAAAGCGAAATAGTAAAAGGAAAATATATATAATATATACATATAAACTTATTTTAAATGAATATTTTATAGAAAATAAATAAAAGCTCGATAAGCTCAATTGGTTGAGCATGGTTCTGAAGAAACCGGGGTTATAAGTTCAAATCTTATATTGAGCACCAACTATAAGAGTGGTATCATTTTTCATCACTTAGGTTTGTATTCTAAATACATTGTTTATGACAACATTCGTAATTAAGCAACATATAAAAGTAAAAAAGCCATCATAAGAGCAAATAAACATGTTGCTTCTGAAAAGGCAAAACCTAAGATAGCATAAATCTTTTTTTTTTCATTATTATTTTTTTAATAATTAGTACTATTTTTAAATTTTTAAGATATTACATATAATATATTTATATAAAAATAGGTGTGCTGAAATTGGCAAACAGGATCCGCTTAGGACGGATTGGTTTAATATCCTTACAAGTTCAAGTCTTGTTACCTATATATGGAAAAAAGTAAAATGATATAATATTGATATAAATGGATTAACTATAAGTCAAGATAACAAAACCTTAATTAGAGGTTCAGCTATTTATATATACAGGTTTAAAATTGATAAGTCTATAATGTATATTGGTTCAGCTATTAATATAAATAATCGTCTTGCAAAGTATAAATACAATTTTTTTAAACCTAATCTTTATATTTCTAAGTTGTATAGGTTAGTGTATAAGTATGGCTGAAATAACTTATAGTTTGGTTTACTGGAATATGTTAGTTTTCCCTCTACTAATATCATTGTTAAGAACAAAATAAAGTTGTTAGAGAGAGAGCAGTTTTACTTGGATAAATACAAACCTTATTTCAATATTAATAAACAGTTGGCTCTATGTTAGGATATAAACATAAAATTGATAGTATATTAAAAATAGGTAATTACCGTATAGGTAAATCTTTACAAATACTTTTACATACTACGCATATGAATAAGGTAATAGTAAATTATCTCTTATTATTATATTAATAAGATGTAATAAAGGTGTTTTTTTTTATGCTTTTGATAAAAAACCTGTAAAATTTTTAATATTTAAATATTATTAAAGCTAACTCTAATTTTTTTGGTATATTATTTTCTACTGTTAGTATTAATTTAAATAAAGAGATCTTGTGAAATAACAGTTGATATTTTAAAGTAAATGAAACTAGCAGGTATTATTCTAGTAATATTTATCCTGAAAACATTTCTAGTCATTATGACGAGAAAAATCTAAATCGACAATATTACTAGTATTAGATTGTAATGTTATAGTTAAATACAAATTTAGCAGTGTAAGAAAAGCAGCTAATTCATTAAGTGTAGGCAGATCTTTAAAATTAAGAGATATTAATAATTGAAAAATTTAGGGTGATAAATTTAAATTAAAAAGGATTCAATAATTAAAATTTTATATAAAAAATTCTATAAAAATATGTTGTCGACTAATAGGTAAGTCATAAATTTTTGGTATTTATTATTGGGTGTTCGAATCGCCTCAACATAACTAAAGGTGGATACAAATAATAATTTAGGTACAAATAATAATTTAGAGCAAGTTATTCAAAAACTGATTTAAAATTATAAGTAACAAACCTTGCTTTAAATAAAATTACTATTTTTTAAAGAATAGGTCTGGCTGCTAGATTTTTAGGTATACGTCAGGCTAGTATATATCTAAATATAAAAGATAAAATAGTTAAGCCTTTTAAAGGTATTTATTTATTTAAATAGGTAGGAAAGGTAAAACCTTATAATAATAAAGCTTTAATAATATATGATAGAAAAAATTAGCTTTAGTTAAATTATAGCGTAAATAATAGATTAAAATATTAACTAAATGTTTTCTATTCTTTTTATTTTTTTTATATTTAAGTTAAGTTATACTTTAAATATTATTAAATGTTTATTTATATTATTGTTATATAAATTTATTAATATATAGGCCTCGTTAGTATAATAACAATGCATCTGGTTTTGTGATCATATTATGTAAGTGCAATTCTTACATAGCCCCCCCCATAATTTGTTAGCATATTTTATCCTCTTTTATTAAAGATATATTGTGATAAATGTGACCTAGAAAAAAATGTGATGTGATATAGAAAAAAAAAAGATAATATGTCTAAATTGATTAATTTCGATTCTTTAAATTTATATATTATAGTACCTAGTACTATATTTTTCTATTGCTTGTTTCAAGGGTATTTTAGTTTAAATAATATTAAAAAATTTTTACGATTATATCCTATATTTGGTACAGCTTTAGGGTTTTAACCTTTTTTTTTTCTTTTAGCTAATTTACAATTTTTTTTTCTGTTTTTTTTATGAATAAAAGTAGATATGCATAAGTAAAATATTATTTACACTTTATATTTAAAATATAAAAAAAAAATAAAAGGATGGTATAGTTCAATTGGTAGAACGATTGTATGTGGCACAATAAGTTCCCTGTTCAATCCAGGGTACCACCCCGCTTAATACATTTTTAATTTTTCTAATATTATAAGATTAAGTATTATTTTAGAGATATACCTATAAATTTTGCTTTATTTCTTTTACCTCCTGATATAAAGTAAAAAACTAAAAATTAAATATTATAATGTTTAGTCTTTTTAGTTAAAGCTATTTATTAGTAGTTCAATTTGCAGAACAACTGTATGTGGAATAATAAGTTCCCTGTTCAATTCAGGGTTTCCACCCTTCATTCTTTTTTTTTTATAAATATTTTTTAATATTTTATGCTAGGATAGTTTAATAGGTTAGAACTTTAATTTCATGCATTAAAAATGAGAATTCAATTTTCTCTCCTAGCTTTAATAGCACTTAATTAATTTCTTATTAGCTTAATGGTAAAAGCAGGATACTTCTGATATCCAGATTTGAGTTCGAATCTTAGATAAGAAACCAAGTAGTAAAGTTTTCGCATTATAAACAAATACTTGCCGTTTTTATACTATTATATTTACAGATTTTACCTATTACTTATTGGAAAAAAGCCAACACACAATTAAAAATGTTCTTAAAAAAAATATTTAATAATTTTAAGTTTAAAATTTTTAAAATCCTTTTTATATTTTTTATATGGTTTTTTTGCAGATTTTTAATAAACAATATTTATCATATTAATGTTTTTTATTAATTATACTGAACCCGTTTCTATTACTTTTTATTTTATTATGTCTATTATTATATATTATATAAATGAAATTTATATAAAATTTGACTCTTTTCTATTTAAACAAACTATAACTTTAGGTAATAATTTACCTGATTTAGAAGAAGTAAAAAAGAAAATAATAAAACATAGACATAATCTTTATCCTATGGAACAACTGTCAGAAGAATCTTTCTCTTCAAAACAAGAAGGACAAGATAAACAAACTCTGTAGAAACATATTTGAATAAAGCTGGAGACATTACTAAAAAACTAGATAATATTAATAGTAGTAATATGTCTACTAGGGATAAAAATAGAGAATCTCTTTCTACTATTTATAGTTATAGTAGTGATAGTACTAACAGTTGTGATAGAGATCTTAATAAAATCGTTAATGACTATTTAAATAAAAGCAAAAGGATTATAGGTTATGCAGTGGAAGATGATGATAAAATGTTTTTATTAGAAAGAAATAGATTAGCTTTTGAGGAAAAAGCTAAAAAGTTTGGTATTGAAAGTACGGAACTTCCTAAAAGTATTAGCCAAAATAATTTAGAGCACGATATTTATAAAATAAATGAATATAATAGAAATCGTGCTCAGTCCCAATCTGGATCTCAAGTAGATAAGGTTAGTAATTTTCCATCTCCGACTGCTAAACCTAAGACTGAGCCCAGTTTTTTTAATAGTCCAGCTAAACCAAACTTAGATGTTGATGAAACGAGACCGGTTAAACCTGTAGACTTATAAGACACTGCAGAAACACCTCTTACAAAAAAATTTAATGAGTTTGTTTTATACGACAGATAAAGTAACGACAGATCAAGTACAAGGTGAAGGAAAAGGAAAAGGAAAAGAAATAAGGAAGGATGATTAAATTTTATAAGTAATAAATATCTTAACCATGGAACTTTAATAGAATTAATATGAACAATTACACCAGCACTTATACTAATTTTAATAGCATTTCCATCCTTTAAATTATTATATTTAATGGATGAAGTTACAGATCCTAGTTTATCAATATTGTATTATTTTTTTTCTTCTCTTTTTTAGTTTATTATTATATTTACAGATTTTACATATTATTTATTTTTTTTTATGTAAAAAGCTAATATATCGTTATTAATTTTTAATT